GCAAACTTCCTGATTCGATATGGCTCACTGTGCACACTCATGAATGCAAAATACTAATTGGATGCATATATCGAGCTCCTAACACACCTAGCTCAACTGACACAATTATAAGTGAGTCATTTGCTCAGGCTGCCTCGCTTGACTTCACTTACAAAATTGTTTGTGGTGATTTCAACCTACCCACCATTAACTGGACGACACACTCTGGCCCATTGTGCTTTGAAGGCATACTTAGGTCCTTAGACATACACGGTTGACAACAACATGTACACCTGCCTACACGAAATCACAACATTCTTGACTTGATATTCTGTCATAATGTCACACCAACATCAATAGTGGTTGGCGAAAAGTTTCACAACAGCGATCATAAAATAGTCCTCTGCACCCTTCCGATTCTTGCCATGTGCAACAAACTACAGACAATAAATACACGTTTCCAATATAGAGACTATGCAAACGCTGACTGGGAAAACTTTCAATTTCTAATAAAGCACTCTGACTGGAGCAGTTTCTTTACCAGTGATAACCTCTTAGAAACATTAGAAATATTCAATACCACCATCAAATCTGCACTAGACACTACTATACCCTTTAAAATTGCTTTTAAGACAACTACTCCCTACATAAACCAAAAGACTAGGTCTAAACTGCGTAAACTGAAAAGGAAGTACTATATATCAAAAGACTTCAGTGCCCTGCACCAGATATATTCTGTACTCGACGGAGTACAAAGTCAACACGACAAGCATAAACAGGCAGAGGAACATACTGCGCTCACTGCTGCATCTAAAACCCATGCCTTATGCCGTCTCCTCGCAAAACGCATAAGAAAGAACGAAGATAATAACATTCACTCCCTACTGCACGATGGAGTGACGCATAATGACCAAACCATCATATGTGAACTATTAAGTGAATGGTTTTCCCACAATGGGAATACATCTCATGTCACAGATATCGACACAAAACGCACCTGCAAAAATTATCTTAGTACCATAAACTTCGACATAGGGAGTATTCATACCGCCATTAAAACCCTTAAGCCAAATGTGAGTTCTGGTGCCGATGGCATCCCCTCAATCCTTTATAAAATGTCAGGTTTGGACATACAGACGCTATTACTCAAAATATACACATTATCCGTAGAGACAGGTACATATCCGGAAACCTGGAAGTTAACGTATGTTCTTCCAAAACACAAATCCGGACCGAGAAACCTGGTCGAAAACTACAGACCTATAAATATCACTCCAGTTATATCACGCATAATGGAAAAAGTGATAAAAAATCAACTATCTGATCACCTACTTAAGGAAAATCTAATAGACCCGTTACAACACGGCTTCATTAGAACAAGGTCGTGCAGTACATGTCTGATAGACTTCTTTAACGAGGTTACTCGCATACGTGATCAAAAGAAACTGGTGGTTATACTATATTTCGATATTAAGAAAGCTTTCGATAAAGTACCTCATAATCTTCTAATCAACAGACTTAAGTCAGTTGGAATTATAAATCCCCTTTTGCAATGGATCAAATCTTTTCTTACGAACAGATACCAAATAACCAAGATTGACTCTACAACATCTACACCTCGACCAATATCCAGTGGTGTTGTGCAGGGTAGTGTCTTGGGTCCATTGCTCTTTATAATATACATCAACAGTATATGCAAATGCTTTAGCACAGGTAAGATCTACCTCTATGCCGATGACTTAAAAGTCATCTATAAAACCGACACTTGGGAAGTACGTAGTACTATGCAAACAATCCAACATGAACTCAACATAGTAGACGACTGGTGCAAACGCTGGAGGTTAGAGCTCAACACAGAGAAGTGCGGCTGGTTATGTATAGGAGACACGTCTCTCAAAATAAAACTAACAATTAACAACAACACACTGTCCAGACTGGTATCAGTAACTGACTTAGGGGTACACTACTCACAACGTCTTAATTTCTCTGAACACATCTCAGCCAAAGTATCTAAAATGAGGAAATTGCTTGGCTTCATTCTCCATAATTGCTATAAAAATGAATCCAAAATCCTTCTTTATAAAGTTTGTGTAAGACCTATCGCTGAATACTGCTCGTTCTTCTTTTCCAACCTACGCCTATCTGATATACTAAAGGTGGAAGGAATACAACGAGACTTCACCCGCAAAATACTTAAGACTGAATCAGTCGTTGACTACAGTTCCCGATGCCAAATCCTAAGAATAGCACCCCTTTGGAAGAGAAGGCTTAGGTCTAATTTGATTCTATACTTCAAACTACTCAAAAACCTTACTTATTCAACATGTAATATAGTTCTTGCCCGAAATTCACATGAATATGTACTTCGAAACAAAGAATCTACGGTCAAAGTTGAGAAATACAGATCAAAAACTCGGGAAAACTTCTTCCTCATCAAGTATGCAATAATTTGGAACAGTCTCCCCTCCGAAATACGCATGGCAGATGAATTACATACGTTTGTAAGGCTGCTTGATCAAGCCCTCATTTGCACTGATCTAACACATACGAACAGATCTGCGCCCCACTCAGATATCATAGGCTCTCTACATGTCTAAACCAAAATGGACTCCAAGTTCAGTTTGCCTTATTTTTCCTACTTTGCAGTTGTTTTAGTTACTTTTCCCACTCTATTTCTTCACTTAAAGTAGACAGGTAACTCACTGGACCTGCTGATACTGTCCAACTAAACTCGGTCGCTAAGAGACACACTAGCACCCTAAAAAGTCAAGAGAACCGCGCAATCGACTGCCTAATACCGATCGAACTGCATCTTTGAAGCCTGTTACCCATCAACTGGTTAGGACAACACAAAAGAACATCAGCACCAAGTTAGTGTGAGTCTATCCTTGTTTATTGCTTATTTGCTTTTTACTCTACTGCACACCATGTTGACTAGCAATTAATATTATTCCTCCACTCGTTACCTAATCTACAACCCATATACTTCTATACTTTTCCGCCCGTTTTATTAAACCACTATCCTACATTACACCCCTCTTAATGCTTATACTTTAATAGGCAAACTATACTTTATACTATAGTCAATTAAAGCACTGCATCGATGCCTTACCCACAGTTCATAATTTGTAAGTGCCTGATAAGCTTGTAAAATGGTACTTATAGAAATAGTGTTTTCCAACAGATTGTGAAACAGAGGATTGTGTGAGGTATGATATATATCCAAGAATAAGCTTAAATGAGCCTAACATCACAAAAGGAGTGAGGGTGGAGTTACTGACCAGCAAGCATTGATGGTGAGGGCGATGACTTCAATCCACCCGTGTTTGTGGGGCAGAACATTTTGTATGTATCAGGCTCTCTATGATTGAGCATAAGTCAATCAATCTGTGATATAGATTATCTTCCTACGCTCACCACTCAGACTCATGTTTCCAATTTTATACTGGATTAGCTATTCTACTAAGACAACCTATAACATGCTAACTCGGACTTTTACACATGGATTGTGTGGCTGGCATCGGATGAAAAAAAAGAAAGAAAAAATCAGACAACCGCAAACACATGAAAAAGATGACAAGAAGGACAAGGGTACCTACCGTTTCGAAGAAAGTATTGTTCTTAAAATTACAACTCCTAAATGATAATACTGAAGAAATCGTGACTTCGAGGTTAAGAAAGGCGATACAAAAAAACATTTAATGCAGCCAAACTGAGTGTCGTCTTCTACAACCTTTATTAAATGACCTTTCTAGTTTACAAATAACACTATTTTGAAGTATATATATCGTAACAGATGCAAACATTCACCAATTTTAACATATAGCGTTGTCAAATTCATTAATACATGTCTTATTTTGGCCTTTATAAAATATCACGATAATTATGGACTTATAACTGTAGAGTCTGATGATAAAATTATTGAGAACCATTGTCTACTCAGATGTTCTTCATTTATGAATTTCAATAAACTAGTGACTACTCTTTTATTAGACTTGCGTTTGCCGGTTATTTTATTGTCTTTTTTTCTAACGTATTATTATTTGATGCATACTATATTGAATTAAAATAGCTCGGATGGATTCAATATTATGATTTGATCAATCAATATATTTTTATGCATATCCTGTAAGAGAAATGTTTATGATAGTTCGAATTCCTACCTAGAACTTTAATCCTAAGTACAGTTACTGTTATGGTTTTGATGTCCGGCTTACGATCACGTGACTTATACACCAATCAGAATACGGCTTATACGAATGTTCGCACTATGACAAGACCAATGACGTTCAACCGGTCTGAGCAGTCTAGCGTCCTATTGGGTCCTACGTCCTTCTAACCCGTCCTCTCGAGTCCAGAACACAAAAGCAGCTTCCGAATCAAACAAATCGAACCAAATCATTTATTTCAGACATACTCGGTTTATATATCAATCAGGCAGACCACAACGTACCATAAAATAGAAACTAACATGTGTACACAAATAGGCCAAAAAGTGGCTGTGAATGTGGGAGACAGTAATTAATAAACTGAGCATAATTTAGGGACAGTAAATCGTACAATGATAAATTATAGGTCAAAGTGAAGCTTATGATAAGGGGAATATAAATATACATAATCTAACTATTAAATAATTACACCGTAAGAATATATAGATAATATTAGTCAATTAATGTCTCAGAAGTTACTCGTGATTTAATCTTTGCTCGGATATAACAGTTACGATAAGCACAAACTTAAGTAATCAATTTGAACGAATGAAACACATAAATAATCGTCTAAATAAAGGTTTGTGTAGTTCATTTGAATGTAAATTTTATACAATTTAAAACTATAGAACCTGATGATAAAGTTATTTTAAACACTTGTTCGCTCAATTATTCTTCATTTTTGAACTAATATTTCTTCTGTATTATGAGTCCTTACTAATTGTAACTATCTAATTCTTTGTATGTGTTATAGTTCACATTGATAGCGGTTCGATAATGTTGTATTATAAGGAGTTATATTCTCATTTCTAGGTACGTGTTCCAACCCATCCAAATGGGAAAGCAATATGTTGGGAATTTGCTACAGACAATTATGATTTAGGTTTTGGATTGTATTTTGAATGGGATTTGGAACCGCCTGAAAATATTTCTGTTAATATTTCGGAGTCAAGTGATGAAGAAGGAGGTGAAGATGAGGATGAAGAAGGACCTAGTAATGGAAATTCTGTGGAGCAAACGTCGCCTGAAAACGAAAATAAGGGTAGGAAATTAGATTTCATTGTGTGAATACCGGTGTCCATATTTAGATTATACTTCTATGCATAACGTTGCATTCCGTGACTGGATTATCATGTACATTTCTATTGATTTTTTCAGTGTAGAATTAATCGGTATTCATTAAGCGAATGATTCGTTTTGTTAACTTTTGGTCAGGTAACTGTCCATATTTATTGGCATATAGCAAATGTAATATCGTTTGATTGTGCAAACAACACAAGGTTGTTAAAAGATATGTTGTGTACTTACTGTAACTTATGAACCGTTTCATTTGCTTCTTATCGACTATGATTCCTCATATACTAATAAAATGTAAGCTGTTTTACAAATACAATCCATTTTTATTTAAATACCATCATTCAAGATGGAATGGACAACACCGGGTACGGAGATATCATGCGACGATATGGATTGGGAGAGAGAAACGAAAATGGTGAGAGACTTGCAAACCTATGTGCATTCGGCAAATTGGTCATTGGCGGCACAATATTCTCACATAATCGCATACACAAAGCCACGCGGATTTCACCGGATCACACTACACAGAACCAAATCGACCATATCTGCATTATTAAAAAGTTAAGAAGGACGACGGAGGACGTGAGAACCAGGAGAGGAGCTGATATAGCTCCAGATCACTACCTGGTTGTGGCCAAGATGAAACTGAAGCTAAGGAAGTACTGGACAAACAGTATTACAAAGGTTCAATATAGCCTTACTTTGAGATACCAACAAACTCAACGAATTCAAGATTACCTTACAGGATTCACTGAAAGAAGAAACTACTATTGAGGACGACTGGAAAAGGGGTCAAGGAAGCACTAACTTCAACGTGTCGGGAGGTGCTTGGCCGCAAGTAGCATCATCATAAAGAATGGATCTCTATCGAAACCCTAGATAAGATTCAAGACAGGTAGAACAAGAAGACAGCAATCAACAACAGTCGAACAGGAGCACGGAAATTCATGGCACAAGCTAAATACACTGAGGCAAAAAAGCGAGTGAAGATGAGCGTTAGAGCCGACAAGCAGAAATACGTGGAAAAGGCTGCAAGAGAAGGAAATATGAGACAGCTGTATGATACACCGAAGAAACTAGCAGGGAAACGTTGTAAACCAGAGAGACCGGTCAAAGACAAAGAAAGCAAAACTTTCACCGATATTTAAGAACGGGAACAGATGGGTAGAATACATCGAGGAGCTCTTGAATATACCTTCTCCATTTAGTTCATTGGACATCGAAGCAATACACAGACCTTCATATAGATGTCTCTCCGGTAATGACGGAAGAAATCGGAGTGGCCATCAGACAGATCAAAAGTGGGAAAGTAGAGGGACTAGACAACATTCCAACAGATGTATTGAGAACAGACGTAGCCGCAACTTCAAGTATGCTTCACCCGCTATTCAGGAAGATTTGGAAGGAGGGACAAATGCCAACGGACTGGAAAGAAAGTTATCTCATTAAGATGCCAAATAAAGGAGATCTGAGCAAGTGTGCAAACTACAGAGGCATCACACTACTTGCAGTACCAGGAAAGGTTTTTAACAGGGTGTTGCTGAACTGCATGGAAGACTCAGTAGACACCCAACTTCAAGATCGACGGGCTTGATTCCGTACGGATCGGTCGTGCACAAACCGAATCGCGACGCTACGGATCGTCGTTGAACAACCAATTGAATGGAATTCGTCACTATAGGCCAACTTCATTGATTATGAGAAGGCGTTTGACAGTGTGGACAGGAGAACATAAAGGGAACGTTTTCGACATTATGGAGTTCCTGAGAAGATTGTTAACATTATCCGGAATTCATACGACAGGCTACAGTACAAAGTTGTGCATAGAAGACAGCTGACAGATACATTCCAAGTGAAGACCAGAGTCAGACAAGGCTGCTTACTTCCTCCTTCTTCTGGTGGTTGACTGGATTATGAAGACCTGGACATCTGAGAGGAAACACGGGATACAATGGACAGCTTGGAATCAATTAGAAGATTTGGATTTCGCAGATGACCTGGCCCTTCTATCCCATACATAAGAACAAATGCAGTTGAAGACAAGTAGTGTAGCAGCAGTCTCTGCATCAGTGTACACAAATGGGAAAGCAAGATCCTCAAATACAACACGGAGAACACCAACCCAATCACACTTGATTGGAAGATGTGGCATTTTTCACGGACACCGAAAGCGTCATCGATGAACGTGGAGGATCTGATGCAGACTTCGTAAACAGTTCTCTCCAAGTGCTGGTCTTGTGTGCAGCAGTATTCCTACAGTGGAAGAATATATGGAACCCAAAACAACCGTCAACCAATATCAAAATCTTCAATATGAACGTCAAGAAAGTCCTACTGTACGGAGCTAAAACTTCGAGAACTACCATAATCATCACCAAGAAGGTACAAGTATTTACAAACAGTTGTCTACGCAAGATACTCAATATTCGTTGGCCGGGTACCATCAGCAGCGCCTACTGCGGCAGAGGACAAACCAGGTTCCAGATGAAGAGAACAGGACACATATTGAGGAAATCATCATGAGGCATGCCCCAACTTGGAATACTGGAGTGAAACGGAAAAGAGGAAGGCTAAAGAACACAGTACTTCGGGAATTGGAAACAGACATCAGAAAGATGAATAGCAACTGAAAAGGTTTGCTCAGTACAGAGTTGAATGCAGAATGCTTGTGGGTGGCCTATGCTCTTCCACGAGGTGTGACAGGCGTAAGTTACTCGACGCTGTTCCTCGTCTGTATCCAAAGGTCATTGGTACTACATGCCATGTCACTAATATTTCAGTAGTAATATGTGAATTATGACAAGTGCGTGCACATATTTTTTCCCGGACGCACATCTTGTTAGTTGTTTTGTGAGCAACCAATAATCAGACGCAGCCACTATTTTAAAGCGTAGTTTTGGCCACTTAAAATATGAAGTCGTAGCTAAACAAAAAATTTGTTAGTGTTTTTGATATAGTTAGATTTAATACTACAGAGCTTCCATATAAGTTGCTAATCATTTTAAATAAGTCGAGGATTTAATAGGAGGTTAATATTAATGATATATGTGACGTGGAAATTTGGATTTCTGACCTTTCGTGAATTAATGTAGGCCATTTCTTCAGAGTACGTAGATGAATAATCGATTTAACACAAGTTTACATAGTATAAAGGAACAAGGCAGAGTATTTAGTCTAATCAAAATTAGATTAGGTTTGATTATTTCAGTTTCATGTGAACTTCTTGGTTAATGTGATTCTGCATGAGACATCACTGTGTGTATGATGATGGGTATGAGAGATGTATGATCTGTTGTATGAAGAAACGTAGTTAAAGTTCCAGCGTATGTGCAAGGAATGAACAGAGGTAAATGTGGTTGTTTCGATAAACAGTCCAAGTTTGATACATAGTTCGGCTTTTTTTAGCATTACATGAAACGCTTTAGCTAGTCACTTTTCTTTATAGTTGGAAAATCCGTTAAATTATTTTGATATTTTTAATACCGACTTGGTTACTGAACATAGCATGTGCTACTATTTCCGATTTAATTTGTAAACTTTCCAGTTCTACAGGATTATTAGGTGTTTTTGTGTTCCTTGGTTTGTGTCGAAATTTGATGATAAAACTCTCAAGTACAGAACACATTGGAGGTTAGTTACGATGCGATGAGGTGGTGTAGATAATAATGTGACTTCTACGAAAGATCTTATAGATTAGGCGGTTACATCATGACAAATCTACAATTTTAGGATTAGGTCTATTATCAGAGCAATACTAATAACACAGTAGACCATAATTCTACAAAACCACAGTACCAATCAAATAACTCTAATTAGAATTGTTATTCACAGGCGAATTGTTTCGTCTTAGTATGCCCTTCTGAATAGATCCAGAGCCAGAAAATGTTTTGCACTGAACGGATGTGCAGAGTTGTTCGGAAAATAGAGTCCCTAGTGTAATTCTTAGTTCCTGTAATTAGTTTAGTCTACAAATCTCAGTAAACCTGATGTATAATCTAAAAGACGATACTACACTGGGACCTGACTTAAATCGATGAAGTCTAGAATAAGTGTGCAAGGTATGTGTTAAACGTAATTGAGAAAGAAAATTCTTACACATTTTTCACTACCTGTAATAATTTACTTTTTACTTGTATTCAGAATCTCATGATTTGGAATTAGGCAGAAAGTCATTACAACAACGTTTACCTACTGACGAACTTATACCAATCTATAGAAGGGATTGTCATACAGAAGTTTATTGTGGTAGCCATCAGTATCCAGGTGTTGGTGTATATGTATTCAAATTCGACAATTCATTTTCTCTCTGGCGTTCTAAGTGGTTGTATTACCGTATTTTCTACACGCATTGAGTGGCTTCACACAGCCACCGTCCGAAATATATTGGAATTATGTTGTTCACATTCCCTACATTACTTCCGACTCAAATTTTCTGTGAACCAATTTGGTTTTCCTTCCCAATGTTTTATTTTGACATGTTGCAAACTGCTTCTGATCTCAGTATATATATATATATATATATATATATATATATATATATATATATATATATATATATATAGCATTTATCGCATTTTATAATCATGCATGAAAATTCTGCATAATTGATTCTCTTCTATTTAAAGTATCCTTCATATTTTGGTTTGTTCTGTCTTGCAACTCTAAAGTATTTTGTGTCGGGATGAATTAAATAGCTTCATTTATTTCACTTATAGTATTTTCTAATAATGATTTCTTTTCTGGTCAACACTTCATGAAAAGTAAATGTCTGTATTTGGAGCCCATGTTTAACAAAGTGATAAGCAACTGTACTGAAAGAGTTTATTGCAATTTTAGTCTATGTATTATTTATATATCACTTTTACTTGATAAGTAATATACCATTAAAAATTTAGACAAAGTAACTTATATCAAATGGATAATTAAATTAACCGGTACCAGAATTTACGTTGATTATTGCATTAGTGCTTTATAACCTTCGTGGAATTCGACTCACCAATGAACGTTTTAATCATATTAGTTATAAATGGTCAGATTAAAAGTTTAATTTGTGTTCTAACCGGTAGTCATATACTTACAAAACAAAAGCGATAAGCTTATGCGTTTATGAATAATCAGTCATTTTCTACTGGTACGATTAATGCATCTGGCAAAGAAATAGATACCTACACATATTACTATGGGGTCACTGATTAGGTGTGGGCATTAATAGTTTCAAATCTTTTGTGCCTTGTAAATGTATATTCTTATATTACACTCGAAAATTCACCCACTACATTGTTTATAGTTGTCACTAATCCATATAGTGGCATAAAAAGATTCTCAGTTGTATTTACACTCGTTCGTTAATACTTATACTCATTACCCAGTTATAAGCAACGTAGGACCTGAGATAAATACATTGCGTCGGTTTACTGAGGGGTAATCATCAGCGTAGTAAGTTAAGAATTTTAAACAAAGGTTATTATCATTAATAACTAGAAATGGAACACAAGCATCAAAAATCGGAAGAGACAAATGAGATTGAGGAATGATCATTGGGAAATAATATAAAAACTCAAGATAAAAAAGTCAAAGAATCCAGGAATCTACGCCACTGCAAACAACTTCGAAATATATCTCCAACTAAGAAGTTTGAATAAAAAGACGTAAATTAGTGCACAAAGTCGAAATTCGGAGCGGCCTATGAGTCCGCTGTTGGTTTATTGACAAGGATCGAGTCGAATTATTTTCGTTTGCAGCTTAGACGACAGTTCACTTATGTAGAGTCACGAAATCAGGTTTAGACCACTACGTTCTAATAACCTGTTTTATCCTTAGATTTCCTCATAGAATACCACTTAGTTGACCACAGCTCTTAATATTTCCTGGTAATACTTAGTTAAAACCATTGACATTCCAAAACATTTAAGATTTACCACACATATAAAGTCTGCCACATTACTTCACCTTCAGAAATTCAACATGTAACTCATTTACCATACACAGGTTAACGTATCAAATTATTATATGCGGCAAATTTAGAATCCATGACTCATTGGTTAGGAGCCAGGTGTTTTAACCAAAGCTTCATAGTTATAACCCAGAAAATACCCAGGGAAGCCTCTCAAGCACGAAACTGGTTTTAAACCTAAAAAAGCATATTTTTGTTTAAAGCTCAGTAACGATAACCTAATCAGGTTCACTTGTTTTGTATCTTGGGCACGTTTTATGGATGTGGTCCTAGATGCTCTTAGGTCGCGCATTATTTGCTAGCACTGGACTAAGTGGAAAACGTAGAGAGTTGACAATTTAATAACAACTATAGATGACTGGGTTGTAGCTGGTCATCAAAATCCAGTGATTCAGAATCTTACAGAATACAGAAGTTAGCAAATTAATACACCTTCAGACATGGAACAAAATAAAGGCCAGTATCGATGTTTCTGTAGTTTTTTGCGGAACGTTTCGTAAAAGATGGATCTGCTTAACTGAAAGCAACTGTAGTTTTTAAACATAACAATTGTTTTTCGCATTTATTTATTCATTATACGACGATTTGCTTTTTTACTTTACAACAATTTAGGGTATTCTTATGATGCTGTATTGCACCAAAATATTTTTCTTAGAAATAAAGGAAAAACCTTTTCAATTATTGAATATGACACTGACAACCATGAGGGAGGGAAACTGCAAATGCCCTGGTACGGCTGAGTGGGGAGAGTCCGTTTTCCCCCTCGAAATGCTCTCACACCACCACGCGTATACAGCCTTTGCCAGGGAAGTCCTACTCACTGCCTTCACGTGGCATTACTGTTGTTTACGAAAATGAGAGGACGAAAAGCGAATGTCCGGCGCTTTAACCGGATCCCAAACCAATGGTGTACATGGGCTTCAGTATCCTGAAGCAACAAATGGTGTATGAACCAATAGTTGGCTACCGGCTACCATGGGACTGCATCTCCTCACGATGCTCCACTGCCTTGTGGGTCAGACGTTCAGGTCAAAGGCTCGGGATGTGGCCCCCTAAGAAAACCACTTGCTTCGGTTTGGGCACCCGGGCAGTATCACAGCCCTCACACATATCAAATGAGATCTGTGTGGCGCGTATGTATTTGGTGCCTCCTTGTACCAATATCTATGTGTTCAAATAATAAATTATTATTATTATGGTTCGATCTTCGGTAAGACACTATGTTTACGCGTTGTCCTAAAATCCCAAGACTTGTAACTCAGTGTTTTTCCAACCAAATAATAAATAATAACCTTAAGAAAGTGTATTGTGAGCAGATCACCAAGGAGAATAAACTATGAACTAACTTATTCAACGAATATAAGTCTGTGAATCTAGTTTTCTTCATAAGTACCTGTTTTACGTACATTTAATATTCATGAAAAACATGTTACCAACAAACCTATATTACAACATAAGTGAAGCTGTGAATCAACAACTCAAAGTATATTAGAATATTTGGAATAATTAATTGTCTGTACATAATACCTTAGTCAAAATGGATTAATCATGTTGATCTTCATCCTCTCCAGGGCACTGTTCTAAAAGTTCAGATTGATTTTGATACTGTAGGCTACACCAAAAACAATAATTATGTCGACTTCGTAAATAATTCAAAAGTTGTGTAAAATTTCTTCGGACCTATAAAATCAAAATAATAGTTAATTTTAAATAATGTACAGTGTGATGGTATAATTGTTCTGACTTGTGATTAATATTTACTCTGTATTATTATTGAAGGGAAATTTTCTTACAGCAATAAACTTGAGGTTTCACGTAAGAAAAATACACTCTAGTTATCGTTTGATTCAGTATTCAGTGAATGAGTGATACAATACAAATGCACAGTATGGTTATCATGGGTAAATAAAATCGAGAAAGAAACTATATATACTTACAGAAGTGTAGTCACAATTCGCATGTTTCGAGTCCAGTTTGGCTAAATCATTATCTGCAAAGTCTTCGTTCACATCATCTTCCTGAGGCAGTACAGTACTTACAGGAAGTCTGTCTTTAACAAACTTAAAACCATTCGAACTGACTGATCCATATTTACCATTATCAGCGATTTCCGTTGGAACAAGATCAACAGGCGGCCAGAATGTTTCGTGAACTGGAGTTTCAATAAGTTCTTTTAAATCCAGATCATGACATATCCGACGGGCAACATCCAGTTGTCGGTTCAAACGGTTCTGTCGAAATCTCACGGCCATAGTGCTTCGGAATTCATCTTTGTAAGCCATTTGTATCTGTTGTTTGAGGTTTTCCCTAAATATCATACGTTTGTTTTTTTCAGACGCGAAACCGAGGCCTTCACGACCCTGAGGGATTTCAATAGAAACAGGATCAGCTATCCCAGTAGCTAAAATTCACAAATAAAAAAGTATAGGAACAGAGAGTGAAAAAGATATTTCTACTTGTAGACGTAAAGCACCATTTACTTTCCCATTAGCTTAGTTCCTACATCGTTGAATACAGTAACAAGTTTTCCAACAATTAATCTTTAATGGTAAAGAAACAAAATGTGTAAGCGAATAAGGCTGAATGAATTTGTATAGTCTCGTGAACTGGTTTTATTTGCACGTAGCATTGTACATCCTTCAAACTCAAAGATATGAATTTCTGCTATCACGTTTCTACATTTCTACCCGTTTATTTAAAATTACCATTCAATTTACACTGATAAGTACATGAAGAAACTCGATATTAATTAATTCCCTAAGACAAAAGATGGAAGTGGAAGAATCGATTTAGAGAGCGTAATGAAGTGTAATTAGTATTTCATAAAAATGGAATAAACCATCAGTTCTATGATTATGAATTGCTCTTGTTTACGACTGATTACGTAATTTTGAAGATATTTATCAGAAACAAAATAGATACTTTTGACTTGGTTATTATTTCATCGCACATGGGTGATTGTAGTCTGGTCTACTAAAATCCTATATTCCATACATTGTAAGATAAAGTATCTTTAGCAAAACGTTCATAAGTTAAATTTGTCACGGCATTACACTTAGTTGTTACTTGCTTACAACTGATTGACTAGAAATTTTCAGTAATATTTCACGCGATAACAAATGAGTGTGAAACTGCTGTATATTACGTACCATTTTTTCCCAAACCTTTACCCGGAACGTATCCCATTTTTGAAAGTAGACTGAAACCTTTATTTTCAGGCCCAACCTTTTTTTTTAAACCTTCCTTGAGGTGATGGATTTCCCTTTCTGACTTGGAAAGACATTTGTTTTTCCGTCGATTCGCCTCCATTGTACGCTGTCGTTGGGCATCTCGTGATATAAACAATCCCGGTTTTACATCTTCTCTAAAAAATTATGAAGTGAGAGTAAAACCTTACATTTCATTCAAAATAGCATCAGACATGTAGTCAACTTCATCATCCATCCCAACACTTCCAAATTCTATTTATATTTGACAAACCGAAGTCATCACCTTTATCTAGAATTTAGGCCAAAAATAAAATTCTATCATGGACAAGAAAAAAAAGTGACTATATTTAAATACTTCAAAGTCACATTTAGTGGATATCATATATTGAAGGAATTCATTAATAATATGACATTGATGCAGTATAAAATGATCCAAGGCCCTTAACATATGCTTTACTGAGGTGGGTTTTATGAGAACTGTGTGAACTAATCGCCTAGTAAATTCTCATAACAATATTGAATACTAATTAGTCCTTATCAATGGTATGCCCCCAAATGCCCTGGTACGGCCGAGAGTGGGGAGAGTCCGCTCTCCCTCTCGAAATACTCTCACACGGCCACGCGTATATAGCCTCTGCCAGGGAAGTCCTACTCACTGCCTTCTCGTGGCATTACTGTTGTTTACGAAAATGAGAGGACGAAAAGCGAATGTCCGGCGCTATAACCGGATCCCAATTCAATGGTGCACATGGGCTCCAGTATCCTCCGGAAACAAATGGCGTATGAACCAACTTTTGGTCACCGGCTTCCATGGGACTGCATCTCCTCACGATGCTCCACTGCCTTGTGGGTTAGACCTTTATGTCAAAGGCTCGGGATGTGGCCCCCTAAGAAAACCACTTGCTTCGGTTTGGGCACCTGGGCAGTATCACAGCCCCCACACAAATCAATTGAGATTCGTGTGGCGCATATGTATTTGGTGCCTCCCTGTACCTATACTTATGTGTTAAAATAATAATAATAATCAATGGTATGATCAGGGAAGGAAGGGATTTAAATTTATTACAAATCTCCATCGAATACTCACATTTAAGTCATTAGTGTACACGCTTATAAAACCACAGTACGACGGATGCTGAGAAAATACTTTGTCGAGTTTTTCGACAACACCCTTACATATCAAAAAGAAAAATGCATTGTAGTTGTTACATTCAACAACAGTATAAAGAAATAAAATGACGGCATACATCACAAAGTGACCAATATTTCAGTAAGTTATATGGTTGACCTCTCCGAGTTGGGGTTGTTAAGCGACTCTGTGTTTGATCACTATTGTCCCCAAACGATTGCTGACATTCAATGGCAACGCTGCTCGTAATGGGAAGGTTTGACGTGTGTTCAGGCACAGTGACAAAGATTCGAGTGGTTTTACGACCGTAAAACACTCCGGTAAATTAAATATGTACCAGGAATGTTGTGACAGCGAGTTCCACATCGATATTATTATGCGACACAAACTGGTTGAGAAAGCAGAAAAGTGGTCAATGTATGATATGATGTTGTGGCATGAAAGTTGCGCAAAACTGTCATCTGTTGTTCCTTTACAACTAAGCAATGGCTTAAGACGTTATTAGGCATGACTTATGATAGAACCCAATTGAATTCATGACATAGTTTTCTGTCTTCGTATAAGTGAGGACTCAAACTCAAAGAATCCTTCCTGATTATTTTTGTGCGAACTGGTCCTCCCATCTTTTTTTACTCTCATTCCCAACTTTTTATTTATTTTTGTGCTGTTTTTATTGTATGGCGTATATATATATATATATATATATATATATATATATATATATATATACTAGTGTTCCTTTGCAAAAATATTTGTCTAAAAAAGTAAATGACGTGGTCGGTGCCGTATTTTCATAACTCATATTGTTACAAATCAAGTATAATGCCTTGGTGATTACGCGTTATATCATTCATCACAGTTTCGCCAAGGCAAATTAAAAACAATTGACTCCCAATACATAAGCCAAGAGTATGTAACTATTACAGTATGAATTTCCGTATATAATTTACTAAATTTGGTTCATATTGATTACAAGGGTAGTTCTACAGAAATATTTGAACCTGCATTGGAGGACAGGAGGTATCGAAACTTGGAGTAGACATCGATAACGTCGCTCTATCCGAAAGCTTAACCATTAAGTAGAGATCAGACTGTCACACACAGCAGCACTTTCTATTTTGATTAATTTACCAACTCTGCTTGCCAAAGTAAAACCTTGTTCTCACTCTACCAGGTTCAACTACTGCTCAAATGGTTGTGGATGAAATAGAAGGTTCTCCTTAACTGGCTTGCGTATCTAGTAGCAGTCGATCACTAACGAACTGGAGTACATCCAAATGTCGGAAAAAACTTGCAGATTATAACGTAAGATCAATGAGTCATTAGAAATATATCAGGCTCCCCTGCCGACTCATAGAACGTTGTTTAGACCACAACCGACGGCGCACAAGACAGAAGGTAACAACATTCCAGTTGGCTGTGTTATGTGTCTAAACTTTACAAATCCCTCCTAAAATTCGTATTAAAATTGCGAAAAACAAGCATTTTAGAGGAAGCCCATGAAATTCTCGAAAACCAGTGGAAAATCCAACGGTTAGCGACAAAAGTCGAAAAATTGATATGATATGCTTTGTGGAGATCATCTCTACTTTAAAAAAAGGGATCACGAGCCAACTAGATGTCGCTGACAATATCAAAAGTTAATGGTGTTGTGCCTGAGTTTCAACTTATTGTATTCAGACTTATTACTGAAGACTTGGAAACGTGAAAACCCTAGAATCCTTAAAGACCAAACAACCAAAAAGTGGGGAATAAAGAGGAGAGAACGACAACATAGGTAAAGAAGAAAGTCTATTTTTCCTCTTCACGTATGTTATTTATGGGGAAGGTCGATTTCCTCCCCTTACGTCATATATTTTAAGGAAATCTGCAGACAAATATACGCGACATACAGTACTTGGAAATGCCGCTTCCTGAACTAAATCTACACAGACATCCACAAAATAGCATACTGCTTAATAAAAAACAAAGACAATTGTCTTTGTTGAAATCAAGTCTGCTGAGGATTTCGGAAATTTGGCTACGTAAATTCCGTTTTACAGAGCTAAAGCTGCAGTTGAACTACGATGGTCTAAGCTTGTTTAAAAGCTCTAACCAACAGATGTGGCCGATACTAGGTCGCATAGCGGGTCCAATAGTTAGTAATGTATTTATAGTTGGGATATATGGGGGTGAAGTGAAACCATGTGATTTCAACGACATGTCAGCAGCACTTATCACTGAGTTGCTAGAGTTGCTGACAGTAGGTCTAAATGTAGATAAGTACCAGGTGCATTTTACAGTTAAATTGGTTGCTGTTATTTGTGACGCTCCGGCTCGCAGTAACGTTCGGTATGTTGTTGGACACAACGGTACTGCTGGCTGTGACAAATGTCATGTTTCAGGGATACGAATGGGTGGTCGAATGACTTTCCCCAATGGTGAACACGAATTGAGAAATGACGTCACTTTTCGTAGTAGGTCACAGTTTACCCATCATCGTGGTGGAAGTTCATTTCAAACATGCGACTTTCAACGCAAATGTCGTTCACTACATGAAGTTTCTGTATGGAAAGCAAATGAATGTCGGTTGTCCTTACTATACTTTGGACCTGTAGTTCTTCATAATAGGTTACCACCGTCGATGTACCGAAACTTTCAGTAGCTCACTTTGTGTTCGCGTTAACATTAAAAACTTCTTATAAGGTTACGAAAAGTGTTACGGCATCGACCACTTAATCTACAATGTGCATAGTTTAAAGCATATTGCAGGGGACGTTTTAGAACATGGCAGTTTAGAGTCGTTCTCTGCGTTTTCTTTTTGAGCCATACATGAGGAAAATTAGACGTTCAGTGCACTGCGGATTCGCTGCGGCTAAACAGGCTGCACAGCGATATGCCGAAGAGGTTTACTTTCACAGTATAGTTAATAACGATACGGCTGACAATCTCAATGAGCCTGAGTTAACTTCAAAGGAAGCCCTCGCTTACAGATACTCAAAGCTATCTACCACCAGGCCGGACAATGTTGTGATCGTCAATGGTTGGCCAGGGTTCGTCACAAAAATAGCTGATGGAGGCCAACTAAGGTTTAGAGCATTCCAGGACCCTGTAGATTTTTTTACTGACCCTTTTCCCTCTAGTACTATCGCTATGTTTAAGTGTTCAACGTTAAGCCACGAGTGTCACTGGATTAGTATAACAGACATACATTGTAAGTGTATTTGTATGAGAACACAAAGCTATGAGGTCATTATCCCCCTTTTGCATACATTCCAATAAAGTGTGACATCATTTTTCAATAACTGTCGCAAAAATAGTATTTCAGGTAGTAGGTGTCTGTTGGTTAGTGCTTCGGCCTCCTCCATCAGGATGTGTTAATGACTGTTAATGAAGGTAATAAATTTTTAACGCCTAAGCTTTGAATTACAGCATCAATCCGGAAAGTACATTTTGATTATTGATAAGGAGAAGAAGCAAGTTATTTTCATTCCTAATAAATGGCTCCTGAACAACGAGCACTACGTTTATTGGGATGATGTTACGGAGGACATAATTGCTGGTGTGGATTGTGATGGTCAATTCACGTTGAGAAAAGGCACCGTACAATGTATTCATTGTTTTTAGAGGACTACCATGTGGCCCAGGGGATGAAGCTGTGCTTAACCTCTGTACTCAGTTACAATAAGAATCTTACAACAGAAGATGAAACTCTGCCGTGTGAATCAGAAAAACCAAAGAGGTTAGTTGTTTAGCTTACTAAATCACTTTAGTGTTAGGGCTGCGAAACGTAAACTTTGTGACTATCTATGCACCTCTGAAGAACTAAAGGTTGAAGCTGGATTTGCCCCGTTGGAATTTCCAGTTGTCAAAATTTTGACCGGAAGGTTCTCCTTCATAGCCAAGTATGTACCTATTTAAACTAAACTCATAGAGTTGTTCATCCAACACAGAGCTTTCATCACCGCCCATTCCATGTACATCGACGGCAGTTGATAAATCTTAAGTTGCATTTACTGTTTCCCTTAAAACCAAAGGTTGGGCGATGACATCCCTAAAATGTTCAGAACGCTTCTGAAGGCTGTAGGTGAACTCTCTAGGAAGATGGATAAAATGATAACGTACACCGAACGTTTATCCATGGGTGTAACTGACAGGCGTACGGAGCCCGTAGACACTGCAGCTAACGCTTTCCCGTTAAGAATGCATGAAACCTTGCGTTCTTTAGAAGCTGCTTTAGATAACGTCCAGTTCCGGGATTACTTCGTAAGTTGTTACAGGTGTTTGAACAAATTTTAGGTGGGAAGATTATACGGTTTCCTGTGTGACGATCCTCGGAAATCAGCTAAAGTTTGTCTGAGTCGCGTGCTTTCGCCGGAATCGGGGAACAATTACACTTCGCACGGAACCCACAGTAAATTTTGTATTAGTAAGTACAAATTCTAGTCAACCATTCAAAGTAAGTATTTCGTGCCTTATGGTAACCCTCGCGTTATTAATAGAATAAACCAGAGTCGTAGGAAAATAGGTCTTTATTTTGATCTTCGCGCAGTCACAGTGGAGCATGGGATTCCTTACTCAGAAAAACAAAACCTCTCAACATACAATATAAGATAATTAGAAATATAGCGCCTAAACAAAATAAAGAAGTGAATAAATATCTGAACTATGTTGTTTTGATATATGATTAGTTGCTTGAGATCAACTCTTAACCAACCAACCTAAGCTGTTACAAGTACACACTATTGTATTAACACATTGATAGGTGTTCTGTGTTCCCACTTCCGAAGTGCGACCTGTCTGGAAAAGGATTTGATACACGCCATGGGTACAGCAAGCCAGGATTTCTTGCATGACGCAAGAGATAAAGTTAATAAACGCGGATGGCGATCCAAAGAAAAGGTTAGCCAAAGCAATAATACATATTGCATTTAGATTATTACTTTGTGATCATTGTTTATAATGATAAAACTTTTGTCATATTCCTCTTGTTTTCAGCTGGCTTTACAGACTTTATCCGGCGTAACAGTAAGTTATTTGTTCGGATTATTGAAAGCATTGTCATACTGTTTGTACGTCATCGACGTTTCACATATCTTCATATGTGATTGTGAACTAAAGTCTTTTTTCATTTTTTTTTAGAACCTACCAAATGATAGTTCAACTTCTGCTTAACGTGTTACAGGAACGGAGCAATAAAAAACGTCGCATAAATGAACATAGTATAATTTTATTAACTATAATAAGTATTTAAATAGGTCAACAACTAGTCTTTTAATGAAACCGATAAATCGATTAACGTTCTGTTTCTTTGCCAACACGTAGTTGACGAAAAATAACTTACCATCCCAGTAAGAAATGTACGTATGTATTCCCGCTATGTTTTCCGTGATGGCCGCAGATTTCGGTATGAGTTTTGCGTTAAAACGGTTCTGTAGAAGTACCCGAAAGTGTAGGGAAAATAAGTTAAAGTTTGTGGAAAATCTAAGACGTTTTGGGAAATTTTGGGGAAAAACACCAATGTTTGGGGAAATTTCGGTGAAGCCGCAATAATGAACTTTGGGGAAATGGCACAAAAACCCCAGAATTTCCCCAAAGTTCACTATTGCGGCTTCCCCAATATTGGGAGCCCGGTAACTATCATTAACACTTGTAAGGAAATGCAGACACAGTGTTCTTCTTAGATGCATATACCCGAACTTTGTTGTTTGTTTACCTAAAGTGACATTCTCAGTGGCCGTCATATATGCTTATGAGATGTGAGTGGTTGACGTGCTCTCTCTTTTTCATGTTCATTATCACTTATTGCATTGTGTGTCCTGTAATATGAATTCAGTTAACGTCAACGAGAGAGCTCGTAGATGTAAGGCGGTTGTGGACCTGTCAAGCGTCCTTGGTTGTTATGCCTCTACTTATAACAGACGGTAGAATAATATACGAGCAGCTTTCATGAAAAAATCATGGTGATGCTATAATTTATGGACAAACTTTGTGCGACGTCAAAGTGACCTTGAGTGTCCACTTAGTAACCAGGGTCAAATGAGTGTTATGAACGTGTGTGAGGAATTAGAATTATAACTTACTGTTGATGGCTCAGGAATTAGATTTCAGGTTTTCATCACGAACTGATATCAGCTATAATGCCATAACACTATCCAATTGGATGAATGAGTTTCGCGCAAAAATCAAAGATCTGTTGTCTAGTACCTGATTGGTTCGTAAATAAATTATATTTCCACCCTTTTGGACGATAATGTTACATGTAAGAAGTTAATCCGTTTACATGTTTCTTTCAAGATGTCATGACGTTAATTTGTGCTCTTAGAAGTTTGTAAACCGTAAACAGCAAATCTAAAAGATCGTTATGAATTTAATGACATAAACCTGTCTGAGCATCAGAGATGCTGAGTGTGTTCGGAATGATTTCCAATATTTTGTTTCGGACTTAGCGAGCAGTATCAGAAGTGTCCTGTGAATGTGCACTAGTGTTCAATTGATTTTCATCAGCCGTGATGTTTGCTACCATCTCAGATCGAAAAACCATATGCTACAATATATTGAACTTTGGTTGTTTACTTGTAATCTTAATGCCTTTGATTTGTATATTAGCGTAGATAGACATTCTGTTTAAAGTAGCTCCAGTCAACATTTATGGCCTGTATTAGAACGCATTATCGCCCGAAGGTTCAGTGACGTGTTCATGATAGGTATTTATGAAGTAATACTAAGCCAGTGGTATTCAACAAAAGATTTGCAGACACCATTTCGAAATAAAAGAAATGATTGACTTGGTTCTGCTTAGTGTTAGGTTCAATAAATATATAGCTTCTGAAATGGCCTGTGTAGCATGTGATGCACCTACCCGTTCTGATGTCAGATACACATTTAATCACAATGTAAATGCGGGTTGTGCAGGTGTATTGTAGTCGGTAGACGGTAAG